TAAAAGTCCAGTTTAAAAATCTGTATTTTTCAGTAAGAAAGGTTTGTGTTACATTTAATTCAGTATTCATACATAGTGGAAAAATCTTTTAAATAGAGTAAATCATTAAAGGTGTTAGTGTAGCAACACTTCTGTTTTAAATTTGGTCAGTTATCTTGGTTTTACCAAAACATATTCAGTTCCATGACTACTGATTATTTACTTCTATCTCCAGCCAACCATCTCAAAAATACATGGAACGTGTTACATTGAGGACTGAGTACATAAGGCCCTACAAGTATACCATTGTAGATGCATGTACTTCTCTTCTCCACTAAAGAAACAATTCAAGACAGTATATTTTCAAGACAATCTATTTATACTAAGTGTGAAATATAAAATAGACTAAAATCACATGCTTTTAAAATCTTTGCTGTGATCAGTAGAGAAATATATCTCTTAAAACAATTACAGAAAGAACTCTTTAAAAACCTAAACCAAAATATAAAATCATTCAATCAATAGCTGCTAAAAATCATTATGTTGTTTTTGGTCTCTTCTTATTGATTTCAACGTATTATCACAGATTTTCCTTCTGAGATTCACATCTTTTTAATGGGAGTAACTGAGCAATTATGCAGACAGAGTGAAACAGTGTCAAATTTTATAGTCTCTAGATTGGTTCTTTCTAGAAATGTGACTGATCATACTGGCCATGTACAAGGAAAAGCTAATTCCCCTGTTTGTTATTTTTCTTGTTTTTGTCTCCATTCCTTATAAAGTACAAGCCATATACTGTCTTCCAAAAAAATGTTTTCTTAGTATAAAATTAAAGCGTTTTTAAAAGAAAGGGGATAAATAATCAAGACAGCTTTCCTAAACATTAGGTGACATTGACCTGTTAAATTTCATCCCAATCCTGTCTATCGTTTTGAGATATTTTTCTTCCTTACATGCCCTTTCTAATTTTCAAAATTTCTTAACATATAAAGCTTACTAAGAATAAAAGAAACTGATGAAGGTCATTCCAAGAAGTAGAGGCTTTATGCTTTGCCTCCAGAGAAAGAGCTGTATTTTAAGAATTGTGATGCTCTGCTAATGGTGCTAAACAGCACAGTTCACACCTCTGAAACTCAAAGCGTAAAACTAACATCTATTGTAGCACAAGGCGGCAAAAGTGACCCCTATTGGGTTTTTAACCCCGAGACCTTGAATACAGTTAGCAATTTAAAGAGAGGCTAAGGAAGCAGATCTTCTTAAGACTTACCGTCTCTTCCGAGAAGTGTAAGAATAGCAAGAAGCTTGGGAACATAGAGTAGTCTTCAAGTAACTAATTAGGGATTAAAAAGCAATCCATGCAGCTACTTTGCTGTTTAAATAATGGCAATTAAAACTTCTGAGAGCTCCCAAGTCATTACAGCCATGATCCCCAAAGTTCATGCAATCAGCTAATCACAGGGCCCCTGCTCATTTCCTGTTAAACAATCAAAGCAGGAAATACAGAGACCACTCTGAAGAACCACTAAATCAATTAACTGTTCACTTTTTACCCCAGCTTCCTCATAGATGCTGACTTCTGCTACCCTTGTCAGGAAGAGAAGGTTCTATCTAACTTGACGCCCCTTTCTAACATCTGGGATATTTTCATTGCAACAGTGAGTGATATGAAAAGGTAATGCTTTCCCCAACTCCCTTTTAAGCAATTACAAAGTAATGCCACATTAGTAATGTACATCTTCCCAGAAAGGGAGGGAAAAAAGAGGGACTAAAAAACAATAACTAAATGGGCAGCTATATTGTTCTTGTGTTCCATAATGCATCTTTTCATGAACAATAAAAGCAAGGAGGCTGCATTAGTCATCGGTGAGTCCACAGTAGCATGCTTTCTGCTCTGCTTTGTTAATTACAGATTAGTTTTCAATAAATCTCAAATAACAAGCTGCATGTGTTCATCAAAGCAATGGAAAGCCTGCTCTTACTCCACCGGAATCTCAGCAAGAAGGATGCTCTTTGGATATATAGCTCCAAGAATGGATCTCATACAGGGCAAAAGAAAAAAAAAAAAAGTTTTGTAATGGGGAGAAGAAAAAGAAAATTCGCTAAGTGGTGAAGGTTAGCTATAATTCAGAACATGCTAAAGGACGCGTGTAGAAATCTTTAAGTAGAAATGTCAGCTGTTTTCAGGAGAGGCACAGGTGATCTCTTCATTCTCTCTTACAAAAATTAAAAC